CTTTATTCAAACGTAGGCGTAAAGTGTCGAATTTAAGCATGAATGACAGTTCAGAGGATTCTCTTTCAAGTGTAGTCTTAAAAGGCCTTTGAAGAAAGATGCAGGTAATCAAGTCGTTCAGACAACGTCCTTGCTGGTTGAAATGGCAAGAAACTGTTTTTTCTTTGTGATCCTGTCTGATATCTGTTTTGTGGGCATTGATCCTTTGGCGAAGTGTCTGAGATGTTTGTCCAATGTACATAGCAGACGGACACTTTCGGCACATGATTGCATAAATTATATTTCTGGATGCGCAGGAATATGTGTTCTTGATCTTATACCTCACTTGGTTGGGTCCAATAATGGTATCAGCAGAGTGAATATATGGACAAAGCTGGCACCGGGGTTTGTTGTAAGGGAAGGTACCAGGGTTGATATTAGTGTGGTATGTCCTGTGGTGGTTGTTAAGAATCATCTTGAGGTTAGGTGGTTGTCTATAGGACATAGTCTCCTCCTATAGACAACCACCTAACTAAGTGATTGGGCTGGTGCAGGATGTAGGAAGGTGGCAGGACCCTGCGATCAGGGAAGCAGCGGCCCTCTTGAGCTCCCTCCCCTTCCAGGTTTTCAGTCCCCCACCACCCCAGTTAAAGGACATTTCAGTTATGTTACAAAATCTTTATTTTTGACTGACAGATTTACTTTGTGGAGAAACAGGTGAACAATTAAAAGAGAAAGTTTTGTTCAACAGTTCACACATTTTCTTTATTGCTAGTGTTTCTAGTAAAGTAAATTTCTGTTTACAAAGAAAAGTGGGTCTTATATGTGTGCTGAATGGGAAGAGAGCGAGGGTTGTGGAGGGACAGGTAGGGGTGGGCCAGGCCAAACCCCAAATGGGGGAGGCCCTGGGGAGAGTCAGTGGGCTCCTTCTGAGACTCTCTCCTTCAGGACCTCTTGGATTTGGACACTAGCCTGGTGAGCCTGGCGGATGGCAGCCATCCGGGGGCTGCTGACATGGCCTCTCCTCGCCATCAGCACCTGACCCCACCCCATCAGGAAGGCCTCCCCTTTCCTCTCCGCCAGGTTATGGGAGGTGCAAGATGTTGCGTTCGCCCATCTCCAGGTGTGTGAGGAGGCAACGGAACCTCCCTTTCAGCCGGCCGAAGGTGCATTCCACCTGGATGCGAGCCTGGCTAAGATGCATGTTGAAAAGCTCCTTGCTCGCATCCAGGTGGCCGGTGAAGGGCTTCATGAGCCACAGCATCAGGGGGTAGGCCACGTCGGCCACTATGCACACCGGCATCTGCACGTCCCCGAGCACGAAGTGCCTGCTGGTATCCTGAAATAGCTATTCCCTGTCTTGACAGCACCTTCATTATTTTGAAATAGCTTTTGATATAACAAGCTAGCTGTTCCAACATCCCTGTAAACCTCATTCCATGAGGATTAAGGGATGTTTTGGAATACTGCTCTATTTCAAAATACACTTGAAATAAGCTATGCAATTTGTGTAGTTCAAATTGCATAGCTTATTTCAAGCTATGGGTGCAGTGTAGACACACCCTTACATCCCAGGAGTGGATTATGTGGATTTATAGTTATTCATCAGCATGCAGACACTCAGCCTGAAAAAATGTACCAGAAATTGCATTATTTGCTACTCAGTTTAAAAAAATTTCAGCTATTCAATCAGGTAATGGCAACAATACCATGCATCATAGGAATTCATTTATATGCCATGAGAAAATGAGGAGCAATGGTCTCAAGTTGTAATGGAGGAAGCCTAGGTTGGATATTAGGAAAAACTATTTCACTGAGGTTATGTCTACACTGGGCCAAATGTCAGAAAAGCCTCTTCTGGAAAAGCGATTGAAAAAAGCTATGCGAATTGCGCTCTGCGTAGCTTTTTCTGACAAAGGATGGTAGTGGAATGGGTTACCTAGGGAGGTGGTGGAATCTCCATCTCTAGATGTTTTTATGTCCCGGCTTGACAAAGCCCTGGCTGGGATGATTTAGTTGGGATTGGTCCTGCTTTGGGCAAGAGGTTGGACTCAATGACCTCCTGAGGTCTCTCCCAAGTTCCAACCCTACGATTCTATGATTGCATGATTCTATGAAAAGCTAGTAGCAAATAGTCAACAATTCACTGAAGACCATAGGCTGCCATAAGTTCATATAAACTATTAAGTAAAATTTGTGAATGACAACTATGTTTGCATAAAATAGGATCAATTCTTGAATGCTTTGCAAACAGAAAGTCAACTAAGCTGGTCAGACAATACATAATCAAGGGCGGTGGCCAAATTTGTTTTTATGAAACTTTCTCAGGGAAGAACATTTTCAACCAAACACACATTTTCATAAAAAACACGAGCATGCTGTGCTATGGGAAATTCAATTTTTAAAGTGAAAAACCAACTGCCTGAAAACCAAAATATTTTTTTATTTGGATCTATCACTGTGATGCCTCAAGACAGCTGCTGTTCCTGCTACAGCCTCACGTCCTCCTTTCCCTTTTAGGACCAGGGTTCTATGATGCACTGCCTTCCCACCAGGTGACACCAAGGTACATCTCAGGAAATTTAATCCAACCAGGGAGCTCAGCCCCCAGAGGAGGATGGGGGAGCATAAGGCACCCAAACTACAAATCCCATGAGGCACCACTGTGGTGGCATATCTGTATCAAAATATTTTGGTTCTCAATATTTTGGGGAAAAAAATCCTCCCTCATGAAAACGTATTTCTGACTAGCTCCAATATGCAATGAATGATTCAGCCAGATCTGTACCCAGCATCCAGATAAGTAATCTTAATCAGCATCATGCTTCTACAGAGAAAAAAATGATCTAGAAGTGCCACAGAGGGCAGGAGCAATCAGAGATGCAGGAAGAAGGCACAAAAACCTTTCCGTCTACTACACCAAGGAATTTTAGTCTGTGCTTAGTTGTGCTAACCCTTTTTAGCTAATATGGTCATTTACTTTGCTGGTGGGCAACATGTACAATTTGTTACATCATAGTGCATTTAAAGAACAATATGAAGGGTTTGGGGGTTTTGTTTGTTTGTTTTTGGTTCCACATTGGTTTCAGGAAGTGCTCTGAGTTCCTCACCAGTCTATTCCTCTCTCTAATATAATTTGATCTTCAAACTATGCATGATAGTTCAATTGTGAATGATACTTATTTTGCTTTTCTGAACTTGAATAATCATCTCATTCAGCCCTTACCCTGCATTCTTTCCCAGGCTCTTTCTATGCCACCACACGCCTCCACTCTGGGAAAGCAGAAAAGCTTTTTCATTTGTTGCAGCTCTTACAAAGCCCTCGAGGAAGTGGAACAATCAGCTCCTTTAGAATCCTTTAGTTCATTTTCCAGAATGCAGAACTATTTTCGTTTTTTCTTGTTTTACAAGTAATCACATTAGACACTGAATGGTATTCAGGTTCAAATAGCTCTCCGTTATATATGTATAAGTGTATGTCTACACTAGCTTGTTCCTCCACGAGGAGTAACAGTTAATTCGAACTAAGGAGTTAGTTTGAATTAACGTTTAACTGCCGCGTGTAGCTGCGGGCAGTTAGTTCGGGCTAAGGGGGATTTAAAAATGGCAGCGCCCGGGAACATGCAAATGTAACCCGGGATATTTAAATCCCAGGCTTCATTTGCAACTCCGTCTGCCCTCATTTTCCTACCTAGCTTGAACTAACGAGCTAGTGTAGACATACCCTAAGGGACTGGGATGTAAGCAGCCATGGATACCACATTGCATAGTCCACTATAACCATATGCCTGTGGCCATTGCTGCTTTTCTCTAATGGGGCCACCAGTTCTAGGCCAATATGTTCACAGGGAATCCTGACCACTGGCAAGGGCACCAGCAGGCCCCACAAGATCCCCTTTGAGCTGGCTATCTGGCATTTGAGGCAAGATTCACAGTACTCCCATGCCTCGTTTTATCCTGGGCCAGAAAAATTACTGAGCTACCCTCTGAATCATCTTCTCTCTCCTCAAGTGCCCTGCCCAGGACACTGCTTGGGCAAAGCATAGCAAACCTTGGTGCAACTGCCATTGGGCAAGCATCTGGAATAGATCTATCTTCACCTGGGGGTCCTAGAGGATTCCTTACAAATCTCAAACTGAAGTCCTTGGGGTCAACACTGGGGTTGGCCTTCTCTCAGGGTACAGCCTGCTGTCTGTTGCCTAGCTGGTCTGAGGGTTGGCTCACCCCTTTGTTTCTCAAGGCAGTCCCCATCGATGTCCAGGCACCCTTGTCCAGTTCCAGTGGAAGCTTCTGTGGGGAGAGGACCTGGCTCAAGTGTTCTGAGGTTGTCCATGGGTCCCTCTTCAGGGTCATCCAGTGTGGGACAGCTTAACACCCTCCAGGTGATGGATGCCCCCACAGGAGATCTGTGAAGTCCTGCCAGTTGTGTCCCAAGACCACTGGGTGGGCTAACTTCAGGGCTACCACAACCATGCATTGTCTTTCCCAATGATCAGCTGTCAGTTTTACCCAGGCATTCAGGTAGGGTCTCACATCCCAGTGGAGGCACTGCAAGTGTATTGCTGCCCCATTGGCTTTGCAAGCCTGATCAGACCAGCCCAGACTAGGGTTTGGCTACACCCAGAGTTGACCAGGCTTGTTATTAGTGTCCCATTGACTTAGATGGGAAGCAAGATTTTGTCCATGTCCTTCTTCTGTGCTCAGTCCCCTGCCACCCATACTTGTCCATAATTATAGTCCATAAAGGGTCAGTCTCTCTAGAAATGCCCCTCTTGGCTGCACTCATAGCAGTGGTCTTGAGAAACCTGGGGTCTGTTCAATATCTTCATCAACTATTTAGATATTGGCATAGAGAGAATGCTTAGTAAGTTTGCGGATGATACCAAACTGGGAGGGGTTGCAACTGCTAGGGAGGATAGGGTCAAAATTCAAAATGACCTGGACAAACTGGAGAAATGGTCTGAGGTAAATAGGTTCAATTAGGACATATGCAAAGTACTCCACTTAGGAAGGAATAATCAGTTTCACACGTACATAATGGGAAGTGATTGTCTAGGAAGGAGTATTGCAGAAAGAGATCTAAAGGTCATAGTGGACCACAACTTAAATGAGTCAACAGTGAGACACTTGCAAAAAAAAAAAAAAAAAAGCAAACATGATTCTGGAATGCATTAACAGGAGTGTTGTAAACAAGACATGACTTGATTCTTCTGCTTTACTCTGTGCTGATTAGGCCTCAAATGGAATACTGCGTCCTATTCTAGGCACTATATTTTAGGAAATATGTGGAGAAATAGGAGAAGATCCAGAAAAAGGCAACAAAAATTATTAAAGGTCTAGAAAATAGGAACTATGAGGGAATACTGAACGAATTGAGTTTGTTTCGTTTGGAAAAGAGAAGGCTGAAAGGGTACTTGAGAGCAGTTTTCAAGTACCTAAAAGGGTGTTACAAGGAGGAGTTTTCCTTGACCTCTGAGGATAAGACTAGAAGCAATGGGCTTAAATTGCAGCAAGAGAGATTTAGGTTGGACATTAGGAGCAACTTCCTAACTGCCCGGGTAGTTAAGCACTGGAATAAATTGCCTGTGGAGATTGTGGACTCTCCATCATAGGAGATCTTTAAGAGCAGGTTAGACAGATATCTGTCAAGAATGATCTAGATGGTGTTTAGTCCTGCTGTGATAACCTCTTGAGGTCCCTTCCAGTTCTAGTATTCTATGATTCTATAATTACTATTTTTTCAACTGATATACAATCTAGATAATAACTTGCCTTTCAGAGCCTTTATGGACTACATTTGCTGATAGTGTGGTCAAGCTGAGAGTAGATCACTCATGTTCACAAACTCCAATAACAGTTCATCAGATGTTCAAAGAGACTGTGGAGAAATATGGGCATCTCAATGCTATGGCCAGCAAAAAGAATGGGAAATGGGAAAAGATCACATTTGCAGAATATTATAATCTTTCTTGGAAAGGAGCCAAGGGCTTCTTGAAGGTAAGGCTTTTTTGTTTGTTTTTGTTTTTAAACCAACAGTCTAAATCCCTACTTGTTATACAGGCTTTTTTAATTACAGGTTACAACATTAAAAGATACCTGTGGAATTTCAGTCTTTATGGAGAGGAGCAATCATCTGTGTCTGCTAGAACCAGAATCACAGCCTTTATTTAAATAACACTCCTTTATTTTTGCTAGATACAGTTTTCTAAGACTAGTAACTGAACCATCCAAATATTATCAAGATCTTTTCAATCCACAGACGGGGATCAGTTTCATCCTGTGTTTCCTGTTGAGATTTACCTTTTTTTTTTAGGGCAATACATTTGAGGTCCCCAACTTTTTCACTTAAATTTCTGAATTACCTAGCAACTTTTTATTTTATGATTGACTAAGGCAATAAGAAGTAGCTTAGTAAAAAATTCTGCTTAATCTATTATATATTTGAGAGAGTTTGTCTCTCTATATGCCTGTCTGTCCTTCCATTTGTCTGTCTCTTTGTTTTGGTCTGTTTATTCAAGAACGTCTCCTAAATTGCAAGCACTAGTACCACCAAATTTGGTGTACAGCTTCCTCTTCTCATAAAGCAAGGTGAGGGTTTTGTTTTGCCAGGAAAATGGGATGTGCCTGGAATGGGATTGCTTCTCATAAAACCATACAGAAAAGAGACAGAATCATCAGGCAGGTGAAAGGAGCTGGCTGGGGACTGTGGCGGGGTCACCAGCCCCGCCCCCTTCAACTCCAAGGCCTGGTCCTTTAACTGCAGGAACAGAGACCTAGTCCTTTGTATACAGGCCCAGCGGCCTAGTCCTCTGAATACAGGCCCAGGGATGGGATCCCCTCATCGTCCAGGATCTGGGAGGAAGGAGTAGGGGGGCCCAGGCCTTCCCTCTCCACCAGGCCCCAACCCAGGGCCCTATCAGTGGCGAGTGGTTCCCATCACTGGCTCAGCAGGGAGTTCTCCCCGAAACTTGCTGAGCCCGCTGGGTCCTTTCCTGGTCCCCGCCCTGGGTTGCTTCCTACCCCCTCACCCTGGCCACAACTTCTCCCACCTGAAGGTGTGGGTCCAGTAACAGCAGTGGCCGGCGTTGCAGTCTGGCTCAGTTTGGTGACAACAGCAGCAGGGGGCACGGGGCCAGCGGCTCCTGG